TAAAACTTATCACAGTATGTCTAACTAACACTATGGTTATGACTCTGAGTCAGCTATAAAGGCATTTTTATTTCCTGAGTGTAAGCTGGCCATATTCACATTACATTTTTTAGGAGGGTGAAGTACCATACCTTAAGTATGCATCTGAAATCTGACAAGCAGGGCCAAGGCAATTGTCTTGCTATTTAATTATTAGTTTTCTACTGGCAATTTACAGATTCCTCCCAGTTGTTGTGTAGAACTCTGAAATTGCAGCCCAAATTTTAACTAAACTTAAATTCCTTGATGAACTGCAGCTCTTGGAATATGTTCCAAAATAAGTGACCATTATAATCTAAATACACTGTCTGCTGTTCACTCGATTTGTCTCCTTAAATTTATGACCATCATCATCTGGGATATACCTGTAGAATTCATTTTATTTTTGCAACCTCCTATTCTTTGAGCACCATTTTTATTCATCTTTACTTTCATTTTTATCAGTCTTACATTTTCAACCATAGAATGGTCCATTTCTCGTTGGCAGAATGTGCAGAAAAATCTCTCAAAGCTAAGGACATGCCTCATTTATATAGTAACTATAAAGAGTATAATTCCTATAAATGGAAAAACCCCAAACTTCTGGGGCCTGTATCTGAGCATGGTTTGACTTGTGACTCTAAGGAATACTGCATTGCACTGTAGAGGTTTGGTACATAGTAAATAAGATCTGATTATTTATTAAATTAATAGATTGATTGAATCTAACCTCATGAGGCTCTTTTTTCCTAGGTGTTGGCTACTGAGCATTCATGTAGCTGCAAAGACAAATGCACTTAAAGGAAGATATGGCCACTAAAAAAAATATATTTTTTTAAAGTATATGGAATTACAGATAGTACACTGACAGCTCTTAAGCTTTTTAAAATCCAGTTAGAAGTGTGAAATACTTAAATATTAAAAGGAGTGGCTCTATCCCAGGTACTTACGTTAAATAGAAAGTCAAAAAAAAAAAAAAGAGAAAATTACATCACATGTTCAAATAAGGAACAGCTAGCTGGAGTGGATGACTTGTAGGGCAAAAATGTGCCCCTCCTCTTGAGAATTGCTTCTGAGATTCGTTAAAGATATGTGGTGGCAAGGTGAGCAAAAATAGGTTGTGGATTTAAGGTAGCCACATTTCTTCTTCCAGAAGTTTGTTGTGGGGTTTGTTGTTGTTGTTGTTCCCCTGCCCCACCATTTCTCACAAGAAGTATATAAGCTGCTTGTCAAGACTGTTGCCTTTTTATAAAAAAATCTATCCAACGTTTGTACAGGCATTGAAAAATCGGTACAGCAAATTGCTACCCATTAAATGAAACATTCTAGAGCATGCTTTGGTCTGCTGCGCATACCAGAAAGGTGTTCTTTACTATGAACCCGACTCGCCTCAAATAATTGGTTGCGTTGGGGCTGGGAGAGCAGGCAACAGAGTAACAAGATTCTCTGTGTCGTATGGGTCATAGGTGTTGAGCTAAAATACATGTAAATGCTTCTTAGTTTCTAAATAGAGAATTACTGTTGCTATAACACAGGTATTTAGTGATATGTATCTGTATGAAAACTATATATTTGGGTTGTTTCATGTAACACAACTTCGTCACACAGAAATTTTCTATTATATTCCCATATACATTCCTAGGTGGATACCCTACTGTTTGTAGATACATTTGACTATTTTCAGCTTACACATATCCATCCTATTCACCACTTCAGAACATCTTCAGAAGTGCTTCGATCTTTCTGCGTGCCATAATCGACACATAACTAGGCCAGATAAGCAGAGTAACTGGAAACCCATGCTGTCCAAATGAGTGGCAAACAGGTGTGAGATCCAGAATGCTTCCTTACTGCACAGTGACCATTTCCTTTTGTTTGATTTTATTTATGGTTAAGTTTAGATCCTTAGGTCTTTAAAGAGGCAGAACTGCGCCAAGAGTTACAGTGGAAACTGTTGGTTATCTTCGTGACTGACTTTTGTAAATTTTTTTTTTTTAAGCCAATTACTAGAAAATAGTGACCTTGTGAAATATGTACTGCTCAGCTTTAGTAAGAGCGCACTGTATAGAATTTGTATTCCTCAATTACATATCCTCACTGCTCTCTCTTAAGATACTGTTCCTTCAGATAAGCTTACGCGTGTTTTAAAATACAAGCACCAACTCTCTGGACTCCACTGAAAAAGTAACTAGGTGATTTAGTGAAAGCACATTCCTTACTTCTCTTGATACTCCTATCTTAAGGCATGGAGGACCATTTCATAACTCTCTCTGTTCACACTCCCCACTGAAATGTCCAGGCAAGTCACCTTCTGTGAATTCACAAAGAGGTTATTGTTAGAAGCAAGCAAGTTTTATGGCTGCAAAATTTGTCTATGCTTTATTTTTTTAAGAAATAGTTGATTGAAACAAGTGAAAATTACCTTTTCCTAGAGTATGTCAATATTTAAGTCCATTTCAGAAGTTGAGCTTAGCATTCCAGAGGGATTTCAGAGAGATGATTGTGCAACTATCAGTCAGTCTCGAGAGTTGAGATTTAGCCAGCATTCAGAAAGCTGACACAGTAATTACTAGCAGTGGTTTTGGCGTGGGATCTGATGGAGGTTGGGCTTATTAACAAGCCCTGCAAGGATTGTATGTTATCATAGCAAGCACATTACATGTGCTCTCAAACTACAGCAATGCCACCCCCCATTCTTGTCTCATTTTTTATATCATAATCAATGTCTTACCCATAGTCTTGTCAGATCTTGTATGTGCACTGAGGTAGAACACTGTATTTGCTGACTAATCACCATTCTGTATCAGTATTTTTTCAACCTGTGACTTGCATTTGACTTCGAAAAAAATACTGAAATGGAAGTGCAAACGCTTTCACAGGCACTAGCCTTAAGTTCACTAATGCATTCTCTTTCATTTCTGTTGCAGATTCATTGTTAATAGGATAGGATCGGTGAGGCATGAAAAAATCACTGCTCAAGTACACTGTGAGCTGATGCGACGGGTGATTTATTTGCCCATTGTGTTAACATGCTAGGAAGTAATTTTAGAGTTAGTGCTATGTTTTTACCCTGCTGGTTAAGTCTTTCTGACAAATGGATTTCTCCACTCTCCTGCTTCCTCATAGACAATGGTTCTGCTTGAATTTACAGTACTAGAAGGAAGAACTACTACTATAGGACTACCAGAGATTTTGAACTTATTTGCTAATCAGAACCATGTTATTGCTTCCTGGGGCTGTATGTTTAATTTTACTATGAAAATCTGCAATTCTCATTACTGGGAAGGGTCCAACTTGACTGTATAATGCAAAAATTTCCAGCTGGATTTAAGGAGATTGTCTGAAAAGGAAGAACATAGTCTTTACTAAAATGAGGAGGGCTGAAGTAAGTAGTAAGACTAATGTGCTGCAGCATACAGAACACGGGTTTGGCCGTTGTTCACTTCTGTTGAAGGTGTTTTACAGAGTTCTTAACACTGCTTGAATAATGGACCCAATTCAAATTTGGAAGAGCATAGCAGAGTTGTTCTTTCTCAAACAATTGTTTATAAAAGGCAAATGGTGGTGTTAGGTTGCAAATTCATCCTGCAGCACCTGGTTTACAGTCCTGCTTAGGAGTCTGCCCATACCTCATGCTGGAAATAAGTATAATGGATCTTTCCTCTTAAAGGAAAAGGAGGATTACACATCTGCACAGAGTGCCTGTTTTTTAACAGATTTACTATAAGCATAAACTATTATTTGTTTCTGCACCCCAACTCCTTGCAGTACCATACAGTAAGGGAGTTTTCTTGACACATATACAGCTCTGCTGTAGCTGGCCCTCAATTGTTGGTTAATTTTTCTTTAGGTGGAATTTTTTCTTTTAAGGGGGAGGAGGAAGGAAGTTCATGTTAAGAAACTGGTAACATTCTTAATTGTCAATAAAGATACAAATTAAGCTGGTTTGGGTGGATTGAGTTTTGTGGGATTTTTTTGTTAGTTTTGGGTTGTTTTTTTTTATTTGTTTGCTGTGTTTTTTTAAAACCAGACATATAGGATTGCCATATTTTACTTGCTGAATTTAGGATATTTTTGTAGGTGAAACACAGCAGAGAACATCTTTGCTTATAGTCTTGGACTTAATTTCTCCTGCCTTCAGAATGTTGGCTACTTTTACACCGTCCTGCTTCCCTCCCCTTCCGTCACCCCCCCAAATCCATTCTGAACTTCTTAAAGCCCTCTGCGTCAACTTGTTCCTTTCACTATGATCACTTATTCAATGTAAAGCAATTGCCAACACGTTTTTTTCCTAAGTGGGCCAGATAAAGCATTGGTCACACACTCAAAATAAATCTGAATACAGCAGGACTGTTTAAGATGAGATTATTTAAAATCACTAGATTTACAATTTGTTTGGAATAGCTGGAAGACTTGAAGCTGATTTAAAGTATCTTACTGCTAAAGTTGTTAATAATAGCAACTGCTTTGTATAAAAGAAGTTTAGGAATTCTGATTTAAGTAGGCAATAATTCTCTTTATTAGAGCAAAGGCCATTTGTTAGGCTATGGATGATAATACTTAAAAACAGACTAAGCTTTACCTGTTGGTTACACTGGAAACTATAAACTCATTAGCAAAAAGATACAACTAAAGATGGCTACTAGAAAGTTAAAGATACTGTTCTGGAAAACTTATTTTGCCTGAATAACTAGCAGCTTATGTACAAGAACTGAAGTTCTTGATGCACAGCTGCCATGTACGAGTAGCTTTACTGAACTTTTTTTCTATACAGTTTAATTCTTTAAGAAAACTTAACCTATTTTGTACTTTAGTTTTGCAGGCAGATAAAATATTAACAAGTTTGTTAAAGTTTTCCGGTTGGCAAGTATTAGGAGGCTGTTCTGCAGAGCTGTTTAATTCCTAGAAATATAGGAATTTCAGATGAGAGATGAACTCATCAGGTTTGCATGTCTGATATTTATGTCCTTCTCTTTTGAAGGGAATGAAAACTGCAGGAAACCTGTAAAGGACTGAATTTCTAGGGTCGTGAAACATCACCAGAGAGCAGTGCACAATGTCAGCGGCAGGAGTTGCTGCTCAAGAGATAAGAGTTCCATTAAAAACTGGATTTCTTCACACTAGTCAAGGCATGGGGAGTCTGAAAACCTGCTGGGGTAGCCACAGTGGATTTGAAAAGTGAGTGATGCTAAGACTTGAAATATTGCATCTTCAAGTATAGGAGATAAGCTTTAAGAATACTTGCACCAGTACCAACCTATGGTTTATTTACAGCAAAGGCTTTTCTTTTTTGTTGTTTTTTTTTAGTACTTTCTTTAATATGGACCCTATAGCAGTGGCATATAATTTGAATCAGTCAACAGAGCAGCATTTACCATCCGTTGGTAAGTATAAAAACATACATGTATTTAGGTAGTGTAATGGATTTGTCTTGGCAGAAAAAAGTCCTCAAGTCTTCACTAAGACGCCGAATGCTTTCTCATTCTGGATGTAAGGTTGCCCTCTGGTGACAGAAGGCAAGCATTTCAAGAAAACACTACTATTTAAGATATCGTCTCCCCTTCCCCAAAAAGTTTTAAATAACATGATCAAGTTAAAACAAAAAAAATCTTTCCCTTGTACTTAGAGGCCTTTGAGTTGCCATTACTGACAGAAAGCCATTTAGTAAAATAGCACTTGATCCATCGTAGTCCTTTGCTGGGATCTTTGTAGCTGTTAGTTCTATTCTCTTGCTTTTGCTTAGAGTCTTGAACTACCTCATTTAACTGGTGCACTTGCCTAGAAGAGTAAGGTAATAAGTTGCTCTCTTAAATAAACACATAACTCCAGGACTTGAAAATATTTGTATAGCTACATTTTGCTACTGGAGTCATTAAGCATACATTACTTACTGTTGCGTTAGAAGGAATTAAATAGCTAAACATGCAGTGGCAATGTCATACACTGAAGTGTTACTTAGAAAAGTGTTTCTAAGACTTTCTCACCTTTTTAGGGCACTCTTCCAACCATGCTTCAATGAGTGACCACATCTTTGCAGAAAGTTGTATCCAAATCCCATCTCAGAAATCCAGTCCACCTCCTGTAAGCCCCAAAAATGAAGAGTCAATTTCAGGATATGAAGACCATCTCATTCCTGGTTTTAGTAACCTGTCATTAACCGTGGGCTGTGTTTCTGAAGAAACACCTCCTCACATGCCAATAAAAAACGGGCCAATTCAATTCCTATCTGCATCTTCGAATGACCGTAGCTCAAGGCCACTACCACCTCTGCCTATTTCTGAAGACCTTACTCCAGATGACGTTGACAAAGAAGTGGAGTTTCTGACTAGCTCGGATACTGACTTTTTGTTAGAAGATTGTGAACTTCCTCCTTTCAAATCCAGTGCTCCAGGCCGGCGGAGCTTTAGGGGCTGTGGACAAATCAACTATGCATACTTTGATACACCAGCAGGACCAAAACCCCAAGATGCCAACCCTGCACAAAGCATAAATGGATACATATACAGTATTTATCCTCCTCCACAGCAGCTGCATCGACGTTTACGAAGGTCTCATTCAGGGCCAGCTGGATCTCTTAATAAACCAGTAGTAAGACTATCTGGACACTTAAACAGGTCTTCTCCAAACTCTGATGAAGATAAACCAGAGATTCCACCAAGGGTTCCCATACCTCCAAGGGCTCTCAAACCAGATTACAGAAGGTGGTCAGCAGAAGTTGCTTCTAGTGCCTACAGTGATGAAGACAGACCCCCAAAGGTGCCCCCAAGAGAACCTTTGTCACGCAGCAATTCCCGTACGCCGAGTCCCAAAAGCCTGCCATCATACCTCAATGGGGTTATGCCCCCCACCCAGAGTTTTGCACCTGATCCTAAGTATGTCAGCAGCAAAGCTCTACAAAGACAAAACAGTGAAGGATCTTCCAACAGGGTCCCTTGCATTCTTCCGATTATTGAAAATGGTAAGAAGGCCAGTTCAACGCACTACTATCTGCTGCCTGAAAGGCCTCCATATTTGGACAAGTATGAGAAATTCTTCAGAGAAGCAGAAGAAAGTAGCTCTAGCACAGAGGTTCAGTCGTGGTCTGGTGACTGCACAGCTACTTCAGCCCCAGTGAAACTAGAGTCAAAACCTAGAATGGACATAGCTGGTCATCTGAAACGAAAACACCTGTCTTACGTGGTTTCCCCATAGTCTCTGGGAGTACAGTCTCAGCTCAGTTTTTCAGGATGGAGCTGAACTTCATCATGTTACAAAGTTCTTAAGGTTCTCAGATAATGAAGTAGGACTAGTTAGTTTGTCCTCTGAGAATTGGAAAGCAGATGATAAAGTCCCCTGATGCTGCGTATCTCTGATATGTTTCTTAATACTGTTTTTTGCCTTGGTATGTGTAGCTGAAACCTACAAAGATTCCATAGAAACATATGGAGGGATAGTAGTCACAGTTGGCCAGTTGTATGCTACCTAGATGAACTTATTTGGTAGTCACATTAAGGAAAAAACAAAACCAACAATCTAGCTTTGCTTACAAGTCGCTTATAAAGCTGACAACAGAGCAGATAATCCAGTACAGTTTTTGTATCAGGCATTTCCGAAATTGCTTTCACACAGTAACTCTGCTGAGAACAGACTCTATCGTCTTTGACTAGGATATGCCAATCTGGTAAGAAGGTAGCTGCAAGATCTGATATCTGCTTCAAGACTTGGCAAGCATATTGGAAGTGTGTTTTGAAAGATGAATCTCTTTTACAACTTAATTTGACACTAAGAGACATAAAATGAGTTAGATTCTGTGGATTCTTTGAGTTGCTAGTCACACTTGGCTCAGTTTTGCAGTTTTTCCTAGGAGAGACTTGGACCAGCTATTGCTGAAGCCTCTGCTGCCGCTCCTTTCCTACTGGATCTTAGAAATATGTGAAAATGTTCTGAAGGTGGCAGAGGATATGAGCAGCTACACAGTTGCTATTAGGTAAGCAGTAACAACTACATACTTACCTAGAGTCTGAAATTCTGACTGTATTAAATACAGGAACACAGCACAAGCTGGTCTTGTGTTTTGATTTCTGTTCAGTATTTTAGGGGAGGAAGAGGATATGAGGAAAAAGCGTGATACCATTTATGAACAGTGTCTGTCCCATCTCTCGCTGCTTCTTACTGTTTAATTTTTCCTCATTGTGCCTCAGTGTTCAACTAACGTTCATTGAGGTAACACATTTGTGCATTAGCCGTTTCTCATGCTCGTTTTGATGACGTTTATCCTCTTACAGAAAAGCACAAGAGAAAGGGTGCTCATTAATGGAGGTACAGAAGATGAATGTGTTCCTCCTAACAGAAATAAACAAACTGTTTACAGTTTCAACTGCTGAATGAGATGTTTGAGCTATTTTTAAGCTTTTTTGTTTAAGTACAAACTAAATGAAGGTGAAATACATGCTATAGAAATGCACTGATATTTCTGCGTCATGTACAGTATTGAATAAAGAATTCACTTTGTATTTTGAATATTGTGATGTCTTGAGTTTAATAAAGTTATAAAATACTTATTTATGATATATTTTGGATTTTGCTTTATTGAATAGTGTACACAATTGTGCATTTAAGTTCTGCATTTACTGGAAAGTTCAAAGTGAATACTGTTAAATGTGCAACAAATGTTGAATTCAGGTTGCATTTAATTAGGATGTCTATAGAAGTGTTCAATAATTCACATTGCACACATTCAGTTTTAATGCTTCCTTACTGCCTGGTAGCATGGTATCTATAGTTTGGTGCTGGCAATAAAAAATTCTGTAAGATTACATTATTTGGCCTATCATTATTAATACTCTATGTTATTTAACAGTTGGACTTGAGGATCTTAAAGGCCTTTTCCAACCATAACAATTCAGTGATTTCTAGAGTCACTCATAGCATGTTAGGCACCATCACACAGAAAAGAGGACAGTAGTATTGTTGTCTTCAGTTTCTCACCTCTTGTACATTAATGGTGACTGACGAGGAGCTACTCATATTCTGAGGATGAAAAAAGCTTGAGCATGGTAATTTTTTTTCTTCTTAAGAGGGGAAAGAAATTACAAATGCTTATCACAAAGCAAATATATTTAGCTGTACTGTATAAGCTATGAATAAGGTTACTGAAGATGTGAAGCATCACACAGCTTTAATCTTTTAGCTGTGTATGCAGGTAAATACTTGCCTTGATGTGGCAGCTTGAACTCTTCATACTTTCTGTGACTGAGCTTATTTCAGAATAAATTAGGTTACCATCCTTAGAATCACACTCAATAGAAAAAAAAGTGAGATGTAGTTTTTCCTGTAATGCCTATTTAAGTGGCTTTTATAGCTGGAGAGATTGCTAAGCTTTGTTTATGTAGGTGCTTAAAACCTACTGCTGTGCTGTAACACTGCTAAGAACCCACACAGGCTGACCTCCAAAACATTTTTACCTAATCCTGTGCAAGGCTGGTGACTATAATATGCATCCTACTGAAAGTTCTGGTTCCCCTCCACCCTTAGATTCTAAGGTGGGCAAAAGGGAAATTGGTACCTGTGAATTTCCCCTTAAATGTGAGCAACTTTAACCCTAGGACCTCAAAATAACATACCTTTTCAGTTACACAATCACTCCTGCAGCAAACAGAGCAAGGCTGCTAAGTTGCAGCTTGTTGCTTGTCAATTGTGAGACTTGGCACAGACTCAGTAGTGGTCATTTCAGTAAAACTCAGTCTAAAACAAAGCAACTGCCCTGCAAATACCTTCTGGCTTTTGCCTTTGGGTCCCACTCCACTTTGATACTTGAAAGCCCACGTTTTAGCCTAGGTTGCTGTGCTTGAACAGAGTGCTCTTTTTGCCTTACCTGGAAGCACTTGAATTGCCAAAGGCCTCAAGTCTCAGTTCTGTCCTTAAAAGCAGTTACTCTCAAACTAGTAGCAAAGCCACTCTTGGGTGGGAAAAATAAGAAAGCTTCCCCATCCAGATCTCATTCACTGTTTTCTTTGTGAATACTGTGATGGGATAAGCCTGCTGTCCTAACACCTTGCACTTCACACCAATCTGATGCTATTGCTCGCTGTTTGCACAGGGCAAGCCAAAGACGTGTAAAGTGATTAACAGCTGAACATGTCTTGGGTACAAAAATGGGGCATTTGTTACAGTTTACCCAGACCTGCACCCCAGCACTTACTTTCACTTCTGTTAACAGTGGAAGTTCCCTACTCATTAGGCTAAAACTTTTTCTGCTATTGTAGCAGCAAAACATTTTTTACTTCCTCAGAATAGAACCACTGAGTACAAACTATTTTCATATTTATAGTGTTGAAAAACCTTTGCTTTTGAATGGTCTTACATAACTTTTTCTGAAATTCCAAAAAGGTATAATATTTTTAACCTAATCTCCATTGCAGTTTTTCTCCTAGAAAGAGAATTGCATACTTCTTTCCTGAAAGCGTTGGTATTATCTACTCAGTCCTGAATATTAAAAAAAAAAAAAACCACTTAAAAATTACCCTGTAGTGATGCTATCTTTCCTACTGTGTGTCAGCAAAATACTAGCACAGTGTTAAATCTCATGCCAGACTTTAAATGATGAACTTAAATTTAGTGCAACTGTAACTGAAGTAAAACAGACTGAACCTGAGCTGAAAACAGGGACGACTGCTTGGCTACAAGCAAGACATGCGAGCAGGTTACAGACTTTGTGTCCCTCTTCAGTATGATGAAAGCCATTTATAGTCAAGTCTTACACTATTTAAGTAACTTGGCCATTTTCCCTTTAAAAATCCAAAGGAATAAGGTTTCACTGAGGACTTGGTCCACAGTTTAGTGGTTCTCTAGGTGACGGTGAGGGGATCACTGATGAAGGTTGGTGGAAGCCTGCTTGTATATTCTTAGACACCAGATTCCTGTGCTTTGCGGGGACAAAGTTTGCACAATCCAAAAATTCTATTCCCTTTTCCAAGTGAGTGATTAAGGATGTAGAGCTGTGGGGGAAGCTTTACAAGTTCTGTCCAGAAGACACTTCTCTGCTCACCCCCTGGCACATGATAAGACTTGTCAGGACACAGCATGCTTTTGCAACAGCCTGAGCACCTCTGAATGTTTAGAGCCTGGGCTCACCTGGGCAAGGCCTGACAGCTTGCCTCTGAGGAGCAAGCCCCTTGCCAGATAGACGACTGGAATAATCACCCTGAAAAGCGGTTATGACTTCATACACTGAAGTCTGAAGAGCCAAGGAATTTGTGTTAAAGCAAGGAAGAAAGATGGGCATCTAAGGAAAGGCAATGTTTCCCACAGCCCTCGGATTCAAGCTGTGGGCTATGCATACAGTTTACCCCTCCACCCCCAGCAGCCTCTTTCTTGCCTCAGCAGCGCCGTTGTGACCATCCAGCCACCTTAGTGAGTACCCATGTGCCAAAGGATGGAGCCGTGCTGGGGCAAAGGGAGTTGTACCACAACAAACTACAAAGGTCTGGATCCAGAGTGGCCCTACAGCGAACCTGTAGTGGCAGCAAAGCTGTCGAGGAGGGTGCAGGGGTGACCTCTCCCCCAGGCTCAAAACTGTCGATGCCTCAACCAAAACAGTCTAAGTTACCAGCGGCAGCAACAAGCATCTGTCCTATCTACCTGTGCAAGGGTCAGTGTTGCCTAGCGCGGCTTGGCTGCTCTGATCTTGGTGAAACACCCCCCGACTTGGTGAGTTTCAGACTAGCAAATTAACCCAGAGGCGCTGAGTTCAGCTGGTAACTGAAGGGATAGGATGTTTGCCTCAGTATACCGTTTCCTGAAAAACCCATTAGTTTAACTTCTCCACCATGATAACTTGCCAGACTCAACTGCATAAATTCCTCATAAATTATACCAGCAAAAAAAGGCAGAGATGGAAGAGAGATCCTTGCCAACAGATCTAGGCAGTGACGGAAGGTTATTTAAAAAACCTCTCCAGCTTCTCTTGCATCATAAGAGATATATAAAACCAGAAAATCAATCTGATTTGGAAGCATACTGATGAACAACATAATTAAATTCTGTAGTCTTTTAAAATTACTAATCCTTGTTTTTGCTGTCACTACAAGTTTTCCATTCACTCCCTGACAGCAATAGGCACAATTGCTACTGTACTGAAACTGCAGAAGAGCTCTCCTGCTGCAGCCTCGGTTTTGTTTTTAAACAGCCTGGGTTTAGTGGCAGGTTCGATGTGATAAAGGAAAGCATCCATCTAGTCCAGGACAAAGACACCAATTTTGCAAGGGCAGTTATTACAGTAGGGAGTAGCTGCTGATGGTGTTCAAACCAAGTCTTGTCAGGAATTCAGGGTGAAGATGATGACCAGATCAGTCATGGTAGAATTCCCACCCTTCAAACTCATGATTACAGACTGTGGCCTTTATAAACACTTTTAATAGTATTATACAAGCTGTATGTTAAA